TCTTATATCGGTCTCTAGGTGGAGAAATAAAAGACAAAGTTGATAGGCTACTTTATCTATTTTGAAGACGTTTCGCTTTCGAGTTTTGAAAGCATCATCAGTTCATCTAAAAAATTATTACAATATGAGAAACACACAATCATGAAAACGATGTTAATTGTTACCTTAAAAAGATATGTAGCAGTCAATGTTATTAACAAATATGTGAATGAAACTAAGTAAATGGACATAGTACGCTGATCTTGTATAAACAGTTAAGCAACTAACAACATATATGAACTTGTACAAAAATTAGCACAGCAATTGACCATGTGGTCCAAAATAAATTCAATGTTATTTATGTTAATAAGTGAGAAAGAACCAAGAAAATCATAAATAACCTCCAACTATTTAATGGATATTAAACTTTGATTTTAACTTTAGGTAGCATTATAAGTAATATTAATAAAATTCTACAAAAAAGTGAATATGAAGTTACCGATCAAAGCCCTATGGATGTCGCCGTGAAAATGGCGTTAGATGAAACAGGAACGAACTAAACCGCAAAAAGACAGCCAACCTTGAGGTCAAAATTACTTTTGACAGATCAACAAGGTGTAAATACCAACCCAGAATTTTGGGCGGTTAATTTAATTTTTTATTTTATAACTGAGTCTGGATGACTACCAGGTTGTAAAGGACACAACAGTGAAAAAAGTTGGTAGTGTAAACACAACTCCCCTCACTAACCGGCCCAAATTTACAAACCGGAGATTTTCATTCAAACTCATAATAATGTAATGACGTTAATCATGTGGCAAGTTAAATAGCCAGGTGGTTAACGATATTATAATTTCCAAACAGCCCAAGGTTCAATATACTTGGAGCTGTGATTTGTAAGGGATTCTATGAATCAATTACAATGTTTGTATTATTTTATATATAATTTGAAACTCTAATCAAAGAATTTAGTGTAATGAAATGCAATATGGGTTGCATATGTAATAGTAAAATTAAGTAAAGAAATTAAGTTATTTAATTGATATATTTATTTGTTTTATTTCTATTTATGTATGTTTGGGTCTTTTGGATTTTCAAATCCCTTTTATTAAAAGGTATGTGGATGATTTATTATTAGCCCTACCACCTGACAAGGTTCAGGGTACCCTATCCCACTTTAATGAGTTTGATCCTCATTTACAGTTCACTGTTGAACTTGAGGACACTACCACCAATAGTATACCCTTCCTTGACATGCGTGTCATCAGAATGGGAGATAACACCCTAACCACAAGTTGGTATAGAAAATCAATGGCCTCTAATAGGTTCCTTAACTACCATTCCTGTCATCCTATGAAATACAAACTAAACCTTATAAAAGCTTTAAGCTTTAGATTAAATAAATTGACACATCCAATTAATCGAAGGGAATCCTTTAAGTTATTGAGAAATATTCTAATAGAGAATTCATATCCTTCCTCTATCATCAATAAATACCTTTATTCGCATAGTTATGGATCCTCAATTTATGACATACCCGATGGTGACCAACTTATAAACATCTCTAATAATTCTATAAATAGCACTGTTCTGCATAATACCGATCTTGAGAATACTATCACGCATTACTCTTTCTTACCATATTTCCCTCAAGTTACTGAGAAGCTTATTAAATTGTATAAACAAAATAATATACCTGTTAAAATTGCTGTTAAGAATGCAAAAACTGTTAGAAATTTGTTCTCTAAAACTAAAACACCCTTGTCCACTTTGGAACAAGTGAACACAATTTATAAAATTCCATGCGCTAATTGCGATCTTTGTTACATTGGGCAATCTGGTAGATCATTGAAAGGTCGTCTCACTTCACATCGTAGCGACATTAACTTATCGAAACACACTTGTGCTCTAGCACAACATGCGATAAATACAAAACATGAAGTGGATTTCAATGAAGTTAAGATTCTTGCCACTGAACGCAATCTAGCTAAAAGACAGTTTTTGGAAATGTGTTCAATATTAAAACATCCTAATGCATTGAATAAGAGAACTGACATAAGTAACTTGAGCCAGATATATCATGCTTTAATTTTGCAGAATTAGGCTACTTAATCTTTTCACTACATTAATGTCATATTAGGTGTACTAGTTGAACTTTTTTCCACTTTTCATAAAACAATTTACATACATAAATAGAAATAAAACAAATAAATATATCAATTAAATAACTTAATTTCTTTACTTAATTTTACTATTACATATGCAACCCATATTGCATTTCATTACACTAAATTCTTTGATTAGAGTTTCAAATTATATATAAAATAATACAAACATTGTAATTGATTCATAGAATCCCTTACAAATCACAGCTCCAAGTATATTGAACCTTGGGCTGTTTGGAAATTATAATATCGTTAACCACCTGGCTATTTAACTTGCCACATGATTAACGTCATTACATTATTATGAGTTTGAATGAAAATCTCCGGTTTGTAAATTTGGGCCGGTTAGTGAGGGGAGTTGTGTTTACACTACCAACTTTTTTCACTGTTGTGTCCTTTACAACCTGGTAGTCATCCAGACTCAGTTATAAAATAAAAAATTAAATTAACCGCCCAAAATTCTGGGTTGGTATTTACACCTTGTTGATCTGTCAAAAGTAATTTTGACCTCAAGGTTGGCTGTCTTTTTGCGGTTTAGTTCGTTCCTGTTTCATCTAACGCCATTTTCACGGCGACATCCATAGGGCTTTGATCGGTAACTTCATATTCACTATTTTGTAGAATTTTATTAATATTACTTATAATGCTACCTAAAGTTAAAATCAAAGTTTAATATCCATTAAATAGTTGGAGGTTATTTATGATTTTCTTGGTTCTTTCTCACTTATTAACATAAATAACATTGAATTTATTTTGGACCACATGGTCAATTGCTGTGCTAATTTTTGTACAAGTTCATATATGTTGTTAGTTGCTTAACTGTTTATACAAGATCAGCGTACTATGTCCATTTACTTAGTTTCATTCACATATTTGTTAATAACATTGACTGCTACATATCTTTTTAAGGTAACAATTAACATCGTTTCCATGATTGTGTGTTTCTCATATTGTAATAATTTTTTAGATGAACTGATGATGCTTTCAAAACTCGAAAGCGAAACGTCTTCAAAATAGATAAAGTAGCCTATCAACTTTGTCTTTTATTTCTCCACCTAGAGACCGATATAAGAACCCACCACTCGTCTGAGTGATCCTTATATATATATTGGATTGACGGTCGTACTCCTTTTTCCGATATATATATATTATATATATATTTATATCTTTTCTCCTTTTTGCGAGCTACGCGATACTTTCTACCTTTATTGTAGTTTTAAACCGACTTTACCAATTCCTAATAAAACCTGATAGCATTTGGCTGCAGACTAACAATGAAAAAGCTAATGTATTTGCAGAATATTTAGATATTTAGAAAATATATTTACTTCCAGATTTAGGTCAAAACATAAATGAAATTGTAATTAGCAAATATCTGGATTTCACTGCCAAATATCACCTCCAATTAAAGCATACTCCCCATTCGAGGTTCGCAGAATAATTATGAGTACCAACTCGCATAAAGCCCCAGGATTAATTTATTCGATGGGAGAATCTCATCGTCAGGTAAATTGCCTACAGAACCTTCTTTCCATCGTCCGATAAGCTAGTTATCCTTGAAGTCAGAAATTTGAAAGACTCTTGCTAAATAGAATAAGCGAAGCTGTACCACTCGAGAACATAATACCGTTTGAGAGAGAGTTTGGTTTCCGTCATAATATTCAACAATCCTCAATCTCATAAACTAATAAATAAAATTAAGATAAGTTTGAAAGAAAAGACTATGTTTGCCTCAGTATTTCTGGCTATTCAGCAGGCTTTTGATAAAGTCTATCACAACGGTTTGCTATATAAATTAAAATGTTTGCTGCCTAGCAATATGTGCCGTATCCTAAAGTCCTATATTAACGAACATTCGTTCCAAGTAAAAATTAATGATTTCTCAACCTATCACTTAATAAAATCTGGAGTTCATCAGGGAAGTGTCCTCGATCCCTTTCTGTACCTATACGTATTACAGATGACGTCGCAGTGGCGACTTTTGCCGATCATATAGCCGTTTTAGTTTGTAGTCCAGACATAGCACCTGAAAAGCTGCGAAATTACTTACATACATTAGAGAATTGGTTGACAAAATGGAAACTAAATGTCAATAAAAGTCAGTCCAAATCATATTTACAATAAGAAGATGCCCTTTCTTGTTGTAAATGTGATTTGAGCTGTTGTATATGTGAATTAGTTCACAAGTTAGTCCAAATAATGCCCCCATTTCTGCTAGAGATTCTAAATAATGCCCCCGTTTTCTTGTTATTATCGTAAATTTAATATGATTATAGTTATGTCTGTTCGAAAGTCCAATTTTATTCCAATAGCACATTATCACATAATGTGCTATTTCCATCTAATGTTTTTAACATATAGTGTGTCAATTTTAAAACTTACAATGGCCTATATCTCGCGAACAAAAGCTGATATCCAAAAATGCTTGAAATAGTTTCTAGGATAGTAAGGGGAAACTAAAATGACATGAAAGAGAACTCATCCCCCTTAACCCCTTAGGTCTCACCCAGCACAACCAAAAAAGTTTAAAGTGCAAACCACTACTTGTGATAAATCAGTGAAAAAACTATAAAAAATACTATCCAATGGTATAAATAATAATTATAGTGGATGAACCAGAAGTTGTGGAACTTTGGCTTAAATGAAAAATTTAGTATAGTCTTTTTAATAATGTATCACAAGTAGGAGTTTGAAATATAAACTTTTTTGGTTGTGATGGGTGGGGCCTAGGGGATTGATGGGGGTGAGTTCTCATGTTATTTTAGTTTCTCCTTACTACCCTAAAAACTTTTTTTTCTCCCTAAACTTAAGATTCATAATTATATACCTTTGTTTATACTTTATTTTATGTTTAAGGACAATGAGGAACACACTGATTTTCTTGGCTCTTTTAATATCATCAACTATTGCCCAAAACAGAGTGGTTAGAGCTAGGTTAGGTAATCTGGGAATACCTCAAAACATAGAATTACCAAACTTAGGTTTCGCACAAGGATTTTTACCCTCATCGTTGGCAAATGCTAAACATGTAAATATTAAAATAAGTAAAACAAAACCTGGAGGATTTGGCGCAGTTAACGGAAATGCTGGAATTAGTGAAGCTAGAGAAAATATTGGATTTGCTGCAAGAGGTAAGATTCAAAGTTCTATTCCAATTTAGATTCAATAATTCATAGTTATATATTCATCATATCATAACAGTTATAGATTCATTGACTTAATAGACATATTAAAACTGTTCATCAAAGAAAATGTACGAACGTAATAAATAAATAGTAACATATTTTAAAGTATTTTACGTGTTTTAAAGGGTAAAAAACCTATTTGTTATATAAACCATTTTGCCATTTGTTATATAAACCAGCGAGAATTTGTAACCGAAACAAATGACTGGTGTACGAAGGAACCATTTCAGTCCCTTCTAAGTTGCTGGTCCAAGTCTTTCTGACTTCAAGGCTCCCAATCAGTCTAATCATTACTCCCTTAGATACCAGGAGACTCACTCTTTTAGCATATTCTCATTGCTGTCTTCTGGCTGTATTTTACATCGAGGATCGTAAAACTTTTGCATCAGATATCGTTACACAGTGGAACCTCGAAGATCTGATGCATATGGTGCCTTCCGTAGTCCTCTTTTGTAGGTTTTTAGATTTTTGTTTGAGTGTTTTAAAAGTTTTTTGTTTTGTTTACTTCTTCATTAATTAATCACTTCTTTATTAACATTGAACATTGCATTTTTCTGAACCTACTTTGTTGTAGTATTTTAATATAATTTAATATCTTTAATGGGAGTTCCATAATCTATAATAATATAATAATTTTTAATGGCAATACAAAAAATATTTCATCTCGTAATAATTTAATTTCATCTGCCATATTCATATTGACAATCGAGACATATATTATACATTTTAGAGTATATTATTTGTAATTGTTACTGTTTCTGAGATGCATTTGTGGGACGAGCTTACTGGAAGATAGTTAATTCGATTACTTTAAAACACTTTAACTTGAGGGTACACGTCAGAAAAATTATAGTATGTGATTTGCCTTTAAAAACACATAAAATAATTATAGTACAATTTTCCAGTAAGTGATCCTATAGTAAATCATGAGGAAAAACCAGAAAATACCCCTTTACATGTAACTTATGTTTATCTGCCTCTTATTCTGTTTTAGTTCAGTTCATATCTGTGTCGTTCTTGACTGTACATTATTTTTCCACCTTTTTGGCGGCGTTCCAATGGGTCTTCTGCTATACGGTTTGTTATTTTTACAGATGTTCGTTAATCTATCTGGTCCCATTCGGTTAACATGTTCGTAATAGGTATGTTGCCTATTCTGGCATTTAGGTTGCCGGGAATTATTGTTTTAGTACCGGCTATTGTGGTCTGTACTTTTGTATGGATGTGAAACTTGGACTTTAAACGCCGATATCATGAATAAAATCGAGACGTTTTAGATGTGGTTGTATCCAAGGATACTAAAAATTCAATGGACTAGCAGAACCAGAAACGAAGAAGTTCTTCGAAGAATGGGACATCAACGAACTCTATTAAATATTATTAAGAGGCGTAAACTAGAATATCTTGGACATATATTCAGAGGATCAAGATATGAGTTCCTTCGGCTAATTCTCAATGGTAAAATCGAAGGAAAGAAATGGATAGGACGGAAGTAACTCTCTTGGTTGAGGAATTTGCGGCAGTGGACAGGTTTGACAGCGGACCAATTGCTACACTTAGCGCAAGACCGAGATCAGTATAACAATATTATAAGCATGGTAGTCGCCGACGTTCCGTAGGGATATGGCACTCTAAGAAGAAGATTGTGTTGTCCAGTAGATCTTGGAGTTGACCATAAAAATCATCTTTGTCTTCCTTGTTTTTGATGTTATCTGGTGCATATACTTGGATAATATTCAGTAGCGTCTGGTGAAGTTTAAGTTTTTTTAAATAAGATTGATTTTCACGTACCATAAAGTTTACCGGTCTTGGTGTCTCGTTTTAAGTTACAGTTTCCGCATGCTCATAGCGGTTTATAAATAAAATTCTTAGTTCTTTCTTGTTCATTGTTAGGTTTGGCTTTAGATACAACAGATTTTAATTTGTTTGTGCTTTGAAATGTTGTTAAAATGTTGAATTTAGTTTGTATACTTTTAAGATTTTTTGATAATCCCTTTATGTATGATATTGTTATTTGTCTCGTATCATGTCTTGTAATATTATACGATCTTCTTCTTATCTATCCTTTTCCATTCAAAACAGTTCCATATATTCATTATTGGCAAATGTTATTTGATATTACTTTTAAGGTGGATTCTCTGATAATTCTGGTGCCAATAATAATGGAATTAGAGGAGGATTTGATCTTTCCTTCAATGGAGGTAGTACCGCAAGTGCAGGCAATTCAGCGTTTGGGGTAGCAGCGCAGAACAAACCCGCTAACAATGCAGGTAAAAATATATTATAATATATTAATTATAAATTAACTTACACCTTATTTATATATATATAATATATATATATATATATATATATATATATATATATATATATATATACAATGAATACTGGATATTCGTGACTATCAATTTAAACAAACAACAAAGTTTATTGGGGCTGCAGTCAGAAGTTATATATATATATATATATATATATATATATATATATATATATGTATATATATATATATATATATGTATATATATATATATATATATATATATATATATATATAGATATAGTAAACTGAAAAAGCGATAAACGCTTGTAATCAAAGCTGATCAAATAGAATACAAAACTCAAATATTTGGGTGTGCAGCGGAAGATAGGACAAAGAAGTACTCTTTTTAGTTAACCAAGTTTCGCAAATCTTTATTTGCATCATCAGGGTGCTACAATAAACAGAATTAGATTCTTAATCTGTAAGAAAGCTTGGTTAACTAAAAAGAGTACTTCTTTGTCCTATCTTCCACTGCACACCCAAATATTTGAGTTTTGTATATATATATATATATATATATATATATATATATTTATATTTATTTATACATTTATTTATCGGATTACACCGAACTTTACAATCCCTTCTGTTGTTTTCTTCAGGGCTTCCGGCTCTGGGGGCTCAGGAAATTGAGACCCCCTGTAAGAACTGAAGAATAGATCAGATAAAATATCTAAAGGTCGGTATAGTAAAAATCGACGCGGTTTAACCCGAAAGCCAAATGACAAATGTTATCTTATGTTACTTTTAAGGTGCGGAATCCAATTCTGGTGCCAATAATAATGGAATTAGAGGAGGATTCGGTTTTTCCTCCAATGGAGGCAGTACTGGAAGTGCAGGCAGTACAGCGTTTGCAGGTAAAACTATATATATATATATATATATATATATATATATATAAATAAAAATATTTAAAATTAACTTAATCATTGCGCCGAGCTTTCGACATCCTCTTTGATGTCTTCTTCAGAACTTGCGAGGTTTCTGTCTTCTAAGCCCCAGTCACTACTACACTGATCACTAAGCAAAGCATTACTTCATTAGTGGTAGGTTCTGTTCGCCCAGTAGGGTTGTATAGTTAGGATTGTAACGCCATTATCTTTACATGAATCGATTGCCGTAATCAATAAATGCCTTCAATTACTATCCATTAGCAATAAAGGATGACTTTTTCTGGTACTACCATTTGGCTTAATAAAATGCTTAACAACTTGCACAAAGCACTCTGTATTCATCCAACCTGTTTTTGAAGCTAGTCTTAAAGTTCCAGGGGCACCCAATTTATAAAAAAAATCTTTAAGATGTACTCTAGGGAATAATAAAACAGGATAAATGGCTGCTCTAGATGCTCCAACAATACATCATGTTGTAATGAGCGTTACACGTTTGCCACTTGTGGTCTTTCTAACCTGTTGTATACCTCCTTCTGCAAACACTTTTTGGGACTTTTGAATGGTAACCATTCCTGTCGTAATGTAATCGAATTAATTGTATGGAAACCGGTTGCTCTTGCAAGACTACAATTTTCTGGAATCCGGAGGGATAAGTTATTGGCATAACGTTTCTAAAAACCGTTTCATTCAGACAAGTTAAGCGCTTTTTCATAAAGGCTAGTTTGCTGGAATCACTATATTAGTCAAGCGTGTGGAAGCCGCGTTCACGTAAAGGCGTAGCAGAAACTGGCGTCCTCCCGGCCCACGCCGCTTGCAAGTCGATTGTTAGTAGCCTGCAGGGAGCGGCTCCGCTCGAGTGTGCTGCACGTTACTTGCAAGAACTAAAGTATGCATAGAGCATTTAGATTAGATTAGATTAAGAGAGGTAGCCTTTCGGCCTATTCTACCGCGACATTTTTAGATCTATTGTGGTCCTCTAGTCCTAGATAACATTCTCTATCATTCTTCTCATAATGCAAAGAACCACATATTTGCCAGACTGTCACACTGTGATAAAATGTGTTCTGCTGTTTATTCTTCGAGGTGACAGTATCTGCACAGGTCATCATCTGATAATCCCATTAGCTTCAATTGCCTATTCAGCTTACGGTACCCTGTTAGAAGCCCTACTATGACCTTGACTGTTTTCCTGTCTTTGCTTATTAGGTCTGTCGTAAATTTTGGCAAATGTTCTGCAATGAACTGTTTGGCCTGTCTTTGTCCTGGTGAATTCGTCCACCATTCCAGAGATTTGTGAGCTACCCACCTCCTTGTAGCCGTTCGTGTTACTGACTTTGCAGCGTCGCAGAAGGGTTCCGGTCCAATGAATGACATTGATAAGCCTTGTTTGGTCATTTCATCTGCTTTTTCATTGTCCTTATGACCCCCGTGCCCCGGTACCCACGCTAGCGTAACCCTGCTATGGTCTCCTAGTTTATTCAGGACACACCCGTAATCCCATACTAGCTTAGATGTGACCTCTACATAATTCCGTGCCTTAAGCGCTGCCTGACTATTTGTGAAAATGGCAACTGAACAAAACGTTCTTTAGTGCCTTTCTATTACTTTCACACAGTGATGGATTGCAGTTATTTCCGCCTGGAAAATATAGAGCCTTAGAAAAAGAATGAAATTTGTCAGTTTTTTAAAAAAGTCTTGATTAGTTTTTTGTTTTATTTTATACACCTATTTGAACATAAATTTCCATTAAATATTCATAAAAAAGTACAAAAACAATTTAATTTCTATTCAAAACAGTGTATTGTTTAAAAATGTTATTTGACGTTTCTTTTAAGGTATTAGAGGAGGATTTGATCTTTCCTCCAATGGAGGTAGTACCTTAAGTGCAGGAAATACAGCATTTGGAGTTACAGCTCTGGACAATTCCGCAAATAATGCAGGTAAAACTATTTCTATTCTTGTTATAGATTTAAAGTATATTATTTCTTTATATATGTATATAAACTCCTGGACAAAATTAAGGCACCACTTTAATTAATCTAAATATTTACAATATGAAAACAAAATAAAACTAAGTTACATTGAAATAATAATAAACACCTACAAATAAGTCCAACATAACTTTATCATGACCTTAGTTTGCCTTATTGTTACTTTAAAAATTCATTTTTGCCGGAAATGTGTAAATAAGCTAGCATAACTCCAAATTGTAAAAATAAATAAAAATCAGTAAAGTAACACAATAAAATGCATCTGGGTCAAGACTAATAACGTGTAGACTCTCCTTTACTTCTTATAACTGCATTTATGCGTCGAGGCATGCTTGATATTAAATTGACAACAAAAGCTTGCGAAATATTCTCCCATTCTTTAATAACGGCCTCAATGAGTAGGTTGTGATTGGCAATGTGAATAGCAACTGTTTCTAAAACTGGCACCCCATTCCAGCCACCTTTTACAGTCACTAGACCTGGCTGTTTTTAAATCCTTTAAAGTTAAATGGGAAAGAAAAACCTGTTGCCTCGCAGCGGCAGTATGTAGACCAAAAATTACCAAAACAAATTATTATTTTTCCAATTTTTGTCCAATTATCAACGGATTTAAAAAGACGGAATTATTCCTTTTAATCGTCACGTCATCCCTGAAACATCATTTTCACCCTACTTGCTTAATAAGTGGAAGATGATAAAACATTTCAGATTATCTATATACGAAAATGGCAATGAAGTATTGGTACTAACTAAAGTAACTCAATAAGTATTTTATCAAAACAAAGAACCTACGCCTGATGCTCTAATCGAAACTACCACTTCCGACAAAGAAAAAAATATCTCTGCCAGAGTCGACGAACTTGAATCAATCTCATGTACAAGTTTAACTGAAAATATGAATGTAACATTTATTAACTTAACAAATAACTAAGGTAAAGCCCAAAAAAAAGAAATAAACGAGAGTCATTATCATTAAGAGCAGCAAAGACGATGAGTCAATGTCCCAATATTCATGGATTCTGATAACACCGAGTTTCTGGATACACTTTTGGAATTAGAGCCAGAGGTAGAAATAGCTACAAATGATGACGAGGAAGAAAAAGAGAATTTGAATTCAACAAAAAGGGTGAATGTATATGTCGGATGTTGGGTATTGGTGAAATATTGCCCAAAAAAGGATGAGTGGATATTTGTATGGCCAATAAATCCTGGAATTGATACTGTATTACAATAGGATATTATAAAATTACTACCAGATCCTATCGTTAACGGACGTGGAATGTACGAATTTCCAGTTACCTTTAAAGGCTTTAACATTCAACATTAACTGAAAGAAAACTTGAAGTGTTTGTTTAATTTTATTATATTTTTGTTTCCTTTGCTCTGACATTGTTTTCGAAAAGTTTCGAAAAAAATCTTTTGTAGTTTTTCAACAAAATAAATTCTAAGAAAACACAAGTAGATAGCTTGAATTACATTTGTATACAATAACCCCAGACAATCAAATATAATATTTACTACAAAAATGTAAACTTTCTTCACATTTGCCCCGGTTCCTGATTATTGATATAATTTAAAAAAACATCGTGCAATATTAACAATACTAAAGATTATTTAATTTTTTTCTAGACAATGAATACAAAAACCGTTTAAAAAGTATATGATTTTTGATATATTTTTGAAACGTTTTTTTACAATGAAAGTTGAAGTAATTAAAAAGTAGATCACATTTACTCCACTTCACCTTACTCCATAAAAATCTTTGTTAACTACACTTTGCACTATTTATTGTATGCAAATTATACTCGAAATCACCCAAAATTTGAGACCAGTCTTGGATCAAATTTACACACGTCTGACAAGTACGATTTGAAGAACCGGATTCCATTCTACAATTAATTATATTTTACAATCTTATAAAATCAACAAACTGCTGGTAAAATAAAACGGGAGTACTAATAAATTACTAAAATAATATTTTTTAGGTTCCTTCCCTCAAAATACCGGAAAAATTAATAATGAAATTAGAGGAGGTTTTGGTTTCTCATCACAAGGCAGCATATCTGGAAATACTGGATTCGGTTTTACTTCCAATGAAGGTACCACTGGCATAGCAAATAATGGAAATCTTGACACTGGCGTTACTCTCGACTCTTCTGAGTTCTTTGACAAAAATTTACATGAATCCGGTCCACATATATCACCTTTTCCAATTATTCCAGCAACTTCATTAAATATTTCTCACGAAGAAAGAGGATCACAACATCAAAGTGGGTTCTCTGGCGGTTTTCAAGGAGCAGTCACAACACGTCCGTTAACATCGGTTCCTCAACCATTTAATCACAATGAGGAAAAGGAAGAAGTTTTTAACGAATTCCATACTCGTCGACCATTTAATCAACCGGATTTTAATGAGGAATTTTTTAATGAATTACCTAGTACACGTCTACCTACAACAAAAACAAAATCCACAACAACAACAACTACAACCACGCCACGGCCCTTCGAATTTTCGCCTCATATTCCAGAATTACCTGCCGTAAACGACTTAATAGAACAACCTCAACCTGTGCAAAATTTTATTAACAATCCTCCTCGACCTGTGCAAGATTTTGGAAATAATCTTCCACAACCTGTCCAAGACTTTAGAAACAATCCACCCCAACCCGTGCAAGATTTTAGAAACAATCCTCCTCAGCAATTACCAAATGTTAATCAACTATCTGTCGATTCACCTCAGGTACCAATTCTGTCTGGACAGAGTCTTGAAGAGGTTATAGAACAAGAATGGAATTCTTTTACAGTGAGTACTTATCTTAACCTCTACGAAATTAGATGTAAACTGAAAAATTGTTAAATGTCTATCATTTATGAGTGGAACCTCGATTACCCGTCTATATCCTCGATTATCCGTTATAATCGAAAAGACGGTTAACAGAACATTAAAAAAATTAAAAATTCATAGTATAACTTTCAAATTTTATTTGTATGTTTTATTTGACAATATAAGAGGGATTTTGGTAGTACAGTCGTATCAATTTGATTTCAAATATTCCAAAATCTTTGTTTGTTTTATTGTTACTTCACATTTTGCAACGGCTAAATTTCTTAGTCGACGTGAAACCATCAAATCTACCTTATTTGCTTCTATTTGACGAGAATACCACTCGATGAATTGTTGTATTTGCGATGCAGCTTCTCTAGCTTCTTTACGCAAATCTTTGTGAGTTGCAATAGCATTATCAACATACCCCCGTCAAAGTCTGTGTCAGCTTCTGAATCAGTTTCGTCCACCTCTGTTGCCATTTCAACGATTTCATTATCTGTCACCAATCGATAGCTGTTTGCGTCTTCATCACAAATTAACTAATCGTTTATGTCATCTTAAGGCAACGAAAACAAAACAGTTGAATTAGCCATAACTTCATTTGTTACCGCATCACGATCGGCTATCACGGCAATATTTTCATCTTGAGTTGATTCAGGCCATAATTTATTCCATGCTCTTTTTAGCGTTACTTCCAAAACATCAGCCCAGGCATCCATAGTATTGTGGACTGCGTGTTTTAAATTGTATGTTTTCCAGTATTCTGGCAAAGAATATTCCTCTTCCATAATTAGGTTTTGAATAAATTTTTTTCTGTATCTTCTTTTGAATGTTTCAATAATCTATTGATCCAATGGCTGTATCAATAATGTTGTATTCGCAGGCAAAACAGAGCTAGTCATATTTCCATCGTCACTGCGCGGCATACCGGCTACAGGATGCATTACCCAAATTGAGAATCGCCTTTGGTGGCAAATTTTTTGATTGCAAGTATTGTCGAATGTGTATTAACTGTAATAATTATTGTGCTGTGTTTTTTATTTTCGGCTTGCGATTCTGAAAATAGAACACTAAAAGCACGGTATTATTTATCATTACCTAATTAAATTGAAATTTAATCCAGAGTTTTAAATAAAAACAAAAATTATTTACATAAAAAAATTCGGTGGTGGCATAACTGCACTTGTACATTTCAACGAATTTCGTATGGCTTATCGCAAAAATATTGATTAACCAAGGGTTACATGAAGCCGAATAACTAGTCGAGGACAGAGAAGGATGGAGGGAAATCGTAAAAAACTGTAAAGGTCTGATTGTGTCACCACATCCTAAAGGTGATGGTTAATAAAGAGACGGATAATCGAGGTTCCACTGTATCTGTTTAGTTATGTTTGTTTTTATATCATTATCAAGTCTCAGTGAGAATTTTAGTACATAAGTCTCTAAGTTAACGTCTTCGTGATTTGTATATACTCTTAAATCAGTCATTTATAATACAACTGACTGTATATGTGGCTTACTTTATATTTATTATAAATATGTTCACTTTTTAAACAGTAAGATAGTAAAAATGCCCCAGCTCTATTTTAAAAATAAAAATACCATGTTGTTTTATGTAAAAAATATTAATTTTTAGACCACTAGAGCCAAACATAACCTCAATAAATTAAAACGAGTTTTAAAAACTTATTCTTTTTTTTTAATTTGTAGGATATTTTATTATCCATATTATATTTTTACATTACATAGCAAATATTTACATTTACATAGCAAATCGAATTTGCTATCACAAACAACTACTCTATCATAAATACTCGATTTAAACACCATGTACGTCGACTTTATACATGGAAAAGTCCTGGAGATAGATTTAGAAATCAAATAGATTACGTCCTCACCAATATTCGCTGGAGATCGTCCATTCAAACAGTCAGATTACATCCAGGGGCGATATGCGGATCCGATCATACTCCCCTCGTAGCTAAAGTAATGCTTAAACTTAAAGCACCCAACAAACAAAGAGAGATAAAGAGGATAGAACTAAGAAAGAAAGACGACCTTCTACAGGAAGTACAGAAAAGTATGCTCTCTATTCGTGACGGAACATCACAAGAAATATGGGAGACTGTTAAACAGTACATAACAACACCAGTGGATCGCTCAAAGAAAAATAATCCGATGAAACGGAAACACTGGATAACAGATGAAACTCTTAAAATAATTGAGAATAGAAGAAATCTTTGTAAAAGTGGTGTACATAGTGAAACGGAAAAAGCTAGTTTAAGAAACCTCAATAAAAAAATAAAACAAAGATGTAAGGCCGACAAAAAACAGTACTATCAAAGTATATGTAAAGAAATTGAGAGACATGGTCAGAATAATCAGCCGAGAGATCTATTTAGAAAAATACGCTACCTGATAAGAGACTTCAGAGTCAAAACTTGGGCCATTGAAGATAACACTGGAACCCTGAGAATAAACAGAGAAGACATAGCAGAGACATGGAGATCGTATTGCAGGGACCTATATAAAGATGATCAACGCCAAGAGCTTGTTAGCGAAATCTCTGACGAGGTGGAAGAAGAACCTGATATACTCGAAAATGAAGTAAGACAGGCTATCAACAAGCTCAAATATAACAAAGCACCAGGTCCAGATATGATAACAGCAGAAATGCTTAAAGCCACAGAAGAAACCGGCGTAAAGTTACTTCATCTACTCTGTAACCAAATATGGCATTCCAAACAATGGCCCGAAGACTGGACAAAATCTACAATAACGACCATACATAAAAAAGGCAGCTTCCATAAATGCGACAATTATAGAACTATCTCTCTTATATCCCATGCCAGCACGATAATGCTACATTAAATTAATGAGAGACTGAAAACATTTCTTCAAAGAGAAATTCCACAAGAGCAAACTGGATTTACCAAAGGTAGAGGCACTCGAGAACACCTGCTGAATATAAGACAGATAATCGAGCAATCTGGGGAATTCAACATCCCACTATACATCTGTTTTATAGATTACCGTAAAGCGTTCGACAGGGTCAAGTGGAGACACTTATGGCGAATACTAAAAGAAGTAGGCGTACCACAACATCTAATTACGCTTATAACTGAACTATATGAACACACTACTGGATCAGTTAAAGTACTTGACACACTTTCGAACGAGTTTCATCCAGAACGGGGTGTCAGACAAGGATGTATACTATCTCAACAATTATTCAACATATATGAAGAGTATATTATGCGAAGAGCACTTGAAGGATGGGAAAAGGGCATCTCAATAAATGGTCATAAACTAAACAACCTACGTTTCGCAGATGACACAGCCCTTCTTACAAATAGTCAAGCAGAGCTGATGGAACTTATACGACTGATCGAAAATGAAAGTCAAATATTTGGTCTGCAATTAAACATATCAAAGACAAAGATCATGATAGTGGATAGACTACACAACAATCATCCACACATAACCACAATTGACCGGTTCGAGGTTGTGAGCTCATACTTATATCTGGAATCATTAATCACAAACACAGGGTCATTACAAGAAGAGATTAAACGTAGATGTGATCTAGCAAAAGTTGCCACAGCAAAAATGACCAAAATATGGAAGGAATGTCAAATTTCAAGAGCGATAAAGATGAGGTTGATCAACTGCTTAATATTCTCAATACTGACCTACGGATGTGAATCTTGGACTCTGAGACAATCGGAGAGAAGAAAGATAGACGCCACTGAAATGTTCTGTTGGAGACGAATGTTACGAATTCCTTGGACCGACCGTAGAACAAATAATTCAATTTTAAGAGAGCTAAAAGTTAGCCAACGACTCTCTAGTAAAGTCCATCTCCAACAATTAAAATATTTTGGGCATGTTATGAGAGCAAACACAGAAAACATGGAAAGACTCATAATACAAGGAAAGGTAGAAGGCCGAAGATCACGAGCAAGATCCCCAACAAGATGGATAGATCAAATTACAGGAATATGCCAAAGACCTATGCATAAATTAAAAGAAATGACCCGAGACAGAGATCTCTGGAGACGGACAATACACGACATCACGTCGACCACTACACTCCCCCTGGGGGGTCAGGATTGAAGAGAGAGATTTTTACATATTTTTGGTTGGAAAGATTCCTTAAAAAACTGTCTCAAAAGCCACTTAAAAAACAAATCTTCAACAAATTAAGTCTTCAATATTCTAAAAATAAAAATACCATGTTGTTCTATATCAACAAGCATCCCACTAAATCTTTTTAGACCCCTAGAAGCAAACATAACCTCAAAAAAATTTAAACGTAATTTTTTTGTTTTTGACGATATCTTCGATTTTAAATGTAGTAGTAACCTATCCTAATTTTTGGCTGTTATAGATCTTAGTTTTTAATCGGCAGTCTTCCATCTATCAGTAGTTCATATATTGTACTGATAAAAAATTATGCCTACAAGAACATTCATCATCAATTAGCCTATATTTGTCCACTGTTGAACTAAGGCCTCCCGTAAAAAGACCCTAGTCGGTGGTTGTCCTATCCTTCTATATGCCTCTTGCCTTGGTCGGCAATCCAGAATCTTTTTGGTCCATCTATTATCCATTAATCTGGCAAGATGTCCGGCCCAAGCCCATTTAGCCATGGCTATTTTGGCAATTTTTTTTAACAAGAACATTACATTAGATTAGTGAGACACGAGATTAGATTAGACACTTCTCTCTCTTCAATCCTGACCCCCCAGGGGGAGTGTAGTGGTCGACGTGATGTCGTGTATTGTCCGTCTCCAGAGATCTCTGTCTCTGGTCATTTCTTTTAATTCATGCATAGGTCTTTGGCATATTCCTGTAATTTGATCTATCCATCTTGTTGGGGATCTTCTTCGTGATTCGTTCTATCAGCTCTGCTTGACTATTTGCAAGAAGGGCTGTGTCATCTGCGAAACGTAGGTTGTTTAGTTTATGACCATTTATTGAGATGCCCTTTTCCCATCCTTCAAGTGCTCTTCGCATAATATACTCCCCATATATGTTGAATAATTGTGGAGATAGTATACATCCTTGTCTGACACCCCGTTCTGGATGAAATTCGTTCGAACTAGACACTTAGTGTTTGAGAATTCGCAGCAATCTTCCGCCGAGAGGTCAATGACAGCGCCGTTAATAACGAGCTCTGTGATTGGCCGGCCAAAGTAAGAATCTTTGTCATGATTGGCGACAGCTCGTCCAATGAATGTTAAATAACTTAAAAAAAAACGGTTTATTTGTTTTTTGAGGTTATGTTTGGGTGTAGTGATCTAATTTTTTTTTGTCAAATACTTTTTGATATAGAACGGCATGGTATTTTTATTTTTGGAATATCGCTGGGGGCATTTTCACTATCTTAAGGACTAGGTCCTTGGTTAACTTAAAATAAAATTATAATTATAAATATTGTTTATTTAGTTTCTAACTACTTATTTCTATTTTTTAAGACCAGATTTAATAAAGTGTATGCCAACCAAGAAGAAGCAAGATACAGGCGAGAAGTTTTCATCGAAAACAGAGCAAAAATTATGCGCTTTAATATGGAGTACGCAGAAGGAAGAAGAAACTTTGTTCACAAAATTAACGAATTTGCCGATATGCTGCTGCACGAATTTAATAACAACTTTAACGGATTCAATAGAAGTAGACGGGAACCAGATGTACCTTTGAAACCAGCTACAACATTTGTCCCGAGTGCAAATGTTGTTTTCCCGGACAGTGTCGACTGGAGAATGATAGGAGCTGTGAGTCCGGTTAAAAGTCAAGGAAAGTGCGCAGGTTGTTGGGCGTTTGCTGCGGTAAGTTTATCTTTGACTCAGTAGTATAAATCTTAACATAATTGTAATTATATATTGTATAATGATTTATTATTGAACAGTCCCTACAGACCGTGTATATTTAGATCTAGGGTAGGATTGTAGTATACACTTTTTCTTCTTCTTCTTTTTATATAGACATGACTCTGTCTGTTTTTCAATGTACTTCCAGTAAGTTGTCATTCCATGGTTTTCGTGGTCATCCTACTGATCGTCTTCCTATTGGGGAACCGTCTTGCTGTCTTTACTATTCTATTTGTTGTCATTCGGCTTATATGATCATCCCATTCTACTCTTATATTTCTTACCCAGTATTTGATGTTCTCCACCTTGCATCTATGTCTTATATCTCTACTTCTAGCTCTGTCCTATAGAGTCTTACCATCAATTTTTCAAAGTGTTTTTATCTCTGCTGTTTCTAACATCCTTTTTTTGTCCTCTCTGTGTCAGGTCTTGTTTCTGCCGCGTATGTTATTGTTGGTCTGATGACTGTTTTATAAATTCTGCCTTTCGTTTCTTTCCCGATATTTTTATTTCTCCATATTGTTTTATTTAGGCAGCCTGCGGCTCTGTTTGCTCTATTCACTTATCTTCCACTTTGGTTTAGAGCTTTCCGTAGCTAGATAATCTGATGCCTAGATATCTAAACTCCACCACTTGTTCTATTATCTGACCTTCCAGCTCCAATTTACATCTTAGTAGTGCAGCATACGTTGTCAATGATCTTTACTTTGAGAGAGTAGTATTGTGTCATCTGCATAGCAGAATATTTTAAGTTGTTTTTCTTCCATTTGGTATCCTTTTTTTGTTCTTCAATAGGGTGTATTATACACGGAGTCAAAAAATAAAATTTGTGCGCCCATGGAACACGACGAAATTATTGCTGACAAAAATTCAAAAACCGGTTAATTTTTACATCAAGAGGAATAAACTTTTATGCATATTTTTATATTATACTCTATATATTTTTTATAAGGGGTCAGATGACCAATCATTTTAAAAGGGTTTTTATTATTTACACTCATATGATAGCTGGTACAATTAAATCAACTCCCACCCAATGGCTTCCAGTATTAAGTCACATCTCACCTCCACATTTCGATGAGTTGACGCACTTACACGTGAATACAAAAAGATCATGAACAATATAAACCTGCCGATCCACCAAGATACCGAGGATGCATGAAATACACGTCTCCGTGGTAGAAAACCACCAATGAAAATGGCGAGAATGATACAACACCACGAATGCATGGTCCCAAGAATGGAACACTTGGCAAAATAACATGCCCTGCGTTAACTACAATCCACCTGGTTTTGATCTTCCACGCAAAATATGGTCCACTCTAAATAGGATCCAAACCAGTCATTGCAGATGTGCATACATGCTACATAAATGGGGAAAAAACCCGCCTCCTCTATGTGGGGAGAACTAAACCATCGACCACATTATTGAAGAGTGTCCCTCAAGATCCTACAATGGTAGCCTTGAAGACTTCGTGTTTGCAACTTCAGAGTCAATTAATTATATTAATACACTTGATGATTGTTTGTAACTATTTAAAGTTTGTCATATATCTATATTACTACTGTTTGTAATATTGTTCTAAATGTGTTGTAATTGCCATACGATAAATAAATAAACTTACACTCACTGATAAGCCGTAGATTCTGGATCATCAGATAGACTTTTATCAGACAAATCTTTATATTTAATACTGTTTTCAGTTCTCCGTTGCTCGCATCTAGCATTGCTTACTGGTTATGATCTAGACCCAAAATAGCCGATTTCTTAGCGCGATTATTTATTGAGGATAAAGCACTCTTGCCTAACAGCTTTGGATATTTCTTTTGTAGTTCGTCGGCTTAAGTTTCCGTTTCGCTTCTCATTTCTCTTCTTTTCTGCATTATTTCTCTGGTATTTTGGCTAACCTTCTCTTCTTTTTAAGTTTTAGGATATAATTTCTTTTGAATTTCCAGTAAATTTATTATTTAAGTCATTTATATTATTTTCTGTTTCAGGACTACTAAGTATCTCGGAAATACATTGTTGAAAACTCTCTACATCTGATGGTTTCATCCATGGTTTTGATTTGTTCTTCTTTTTAATTATCTTATACCTCTTCTTCTTTAAGCTTTTTTTTTATTTTAGCCCGTATCATTCTATGATCGCTAGTGATAAATTTGTTTGGAACCGTGATGATTTCAACGGTGTGTTTTTTGTCCGTAATAATAAAATCTATTTCTTTGTGAGTTTTTTTCGTTAGGGCTTTGCCATGTCTATCTTCTCTGTAGTTTCTTTGCAAAAAAACTGTTCATTTGGAATAGTTCATGTTGCAGCATGAATCTTAATAGTATTTTGCCACGTTCATTTCTACCATCCAAGCCAAAGTTTCCCAGTGGTGTTTCTGTAGGGTTGGATTTCATCCCTGTTTTGGCGTTAAAATCACCACATATAAAAGTAAAATGTTCTTGCTGGTCTTTAAAAGTAGCTTCGATATTATCATAGAATATATCCACTTCACTAGTTAATAGAAATACTAAAATAATTCCAAGTGCCAGAAAAAATAATAAGATTGGTAAAAAGACAATTAGATAAACCATTTCTGCTGTGAGATACAACGGTACAGTCTCAAAAGAATTCGAAATGAAAAAATGTGTTTGCCAAGGAGACCCGTTGTCTACATTGCTATTCAATATAGTTCTAGAAAAAATTGTAAGGGTTAGTGGGATAAATAATAGGTCAGGAACTATTTTATACAAGGAGCACCAATGCTTAGCATACGCTAATGGAAAAGAACTATCAAATATGGCAAAAACACTGATTCGGGAAAGCTCTAAAATGGGACTGAAAGTTAATATAAATAAATCCAAGTACATGGAGATCTCGAGCAAAAAGGAATAAACACAAGGGGACCCTTTAAATTGGAGGTGGAGGAAGGATCAGTTTTAGAATTCGAGAAGGTGGATGAATATATGTACTTAGATACTCTTATTTATCAGACATGTAAGGAAGAAACTGAAATCAATCTGAAACTGACCAAAGCAATAGGTGTGCTAGAGCCATGAGCAAAATAATTAAGACCAAAGATATATCTCGTGATACAAAAATAAGAGTATACAAAACTATAATTAGTTTCATCAGTAGTTTCATCAAATACTCTACTTCGCAGAGTATTTGATGAAAAAGTAGTAGAAAGAGAATGGAGATGACGAACTATTGCAGAAGAGTGCCATTTGTATGCTAACCTTACTATAACAAAAGTGGTGAAAAAACGTAGACTAGAATGGCTCGGATATCTAGAAAGAATGCAAGGTAATAGACTAGTCAAGAATATTGCTTGGAGAGTACCTGAGGGCAAAAAAAGAGACAAAGACTAAGAAAGAAATGGAGAGATGTAGTGATGGAAGATGTCAGGGAGATGGGAATCAGAGATTGGAAGCTGTTAGCTAACAGTAGAAAACGATGGATATTATCCATCTAGCAATGGGCCTAAAAGGCCTGTTACCGCTGTACATACATACATATCTACTTCTTTATCATGGTCTGTTCTTAGTGCATAAACCTGTAATATTTTCATACTATACCTTGTATTCAATTTGAAAGTAACAAAGGCTAGCCGCTTAGAAGCCGCTATCTACTCTTACCAAGAACAAATCAAACATAGGTGCCATTAAAAACAATAGACGTATGAAAGTATTGAAAAAAAGACTAACAACAAGGACAAGGCAGATAATAAAGATTAAAGATAGAAATGGTCCTCTTACAATCAACAGAGAGGAAACCCTTGAAATAGTTCCTTAGAAGATTCTAAAAATTGCTGTACACAAGCGAACACAAAGCAAATAGCAGAGAAAATCAAGTACCAGAAATATTAACAGTTCCATAAAGCCTTAGACATGGTAAAATTTGACAAAATCCTGGAAGCACTACAAGTATGACGCATTGACCACCGATATACAAAGGTAATTTACACTACATACAGAACGCAACTATGTTGGTAAAACTACATAAAAACACGGATCATATCCCAATCGGCAGAGGTGTATGCCGAAAAACCTAACTGGGAAGAGAAAGGCCTGAACACTGAAGGTAGAAGACTAGAAACAAATTTGAAATTCGCAGACCACATAGTTTTGTTCTCAGACAACCCCAAGGAGATATGTATCATACTACATGCACTTCAGTTAATGTGTGCCAGTGCTAGTACCTAGCGGAAATATCAACATTGGAGACAACAAAGTAGAGCTGGAGAAAAAATAAATATACCTTGGACACGAAATAAAGATCACAAGAGACAACCAAACATACCAAACTACGGAGAAAAATAAATCTAGCATGAACAGCCTATGGAAAACTCAAAGAGATCTTTAAAAGCAATATACCAGTTTCTTTAAAACGTAAAACATTTGACAATGTGTTTACCGAAACTTTAACATTGACAGCTACAATTTCTAAAACGCTGCAAATGGCTCAGAGGAAAATAGAAAAGTGACTGAGTCAGAAATAAAGACTTAAACTAATTACTATTTAAATGTGGATAAGCCACAATTAAAGGTTAAAGTAAGTTTATTAATAAAGTACTTAACATAAACTTACTTTAGCCTTTAATTGTGGCTTATTCCCATTTAAATAGTAATTAGTTCAAAATGATACAAGCAAATAGCTTCAAAACAATATTAAAATGAAGACTTAAGACAAAGAATAGGAGTAACCGATGTAATTTCACGAAATAGAACTGGGCCGGACACGTCGCTCTAATCAGTGATGAAAGGTGGACGAAGAGATTGTTTGAGTGGATGCCGAGATGAGACAAAAGAAGTATAGAGAAAGACCCCCTACTCGTTAGACTAACGATGCCAAGAAATTGGATGAAAAGTGCTCAAGATATAGCACAATGGACAAAAATGAGGGAGACCTATGTCTAGCAGTGGATGAAAAGGCCTGGGTAATAATGATGATGATGAGAGCAGTCTTAACTGTTTTTAAGCAAAACACGTTGTCATATGGGAAATATTGCAGTATCAGTGACACTGCTGGCTGACTTATAACGTTTTGCACTACTTTTTAAAACTAGTTTGTAATCGGATATTCACATGGAGCGTACTGTACGTACATTATAAAAGTTATAACCTTTTTGACTACATAAACCCAATAACCAAAATTTTTAACATAAAATGTATTGCCGTATCACCGGCGATATTTGTAAAACAAGTATATTTTTACTAAAAATTCTGAATTATAGGAAAAAAGGTTATAATCTGGACTTTGGTAATTACCAATTAAGACACATACTTATTATATACCAAATTCGTCCTATAAATACGTTTAAATGTTTTATTTGAGAAAGATAAATCGACAATGTAATTAACGCTGTGAAATAAGTGATTTTGAAAATTTACAAAACGTAGTTTTTAATACTTTCCACATTAAATTTCTCGTTAAAAGTTTAAGTATAGTAGGAAATTACATTATATTATCTGCCATATGAATTCTCCCAAAACCTTCATCTCCATAAAATTTTTCATAATGTAGCAACTTTTTCCTAATATTTTATAGGCCGGAGCGTTAGAGGCTCACACCTTCAGGAAAACTGGAAAGTTAGTCGAAATCAGCGCCCAAAATTTGATTGATTGCACACAACCGTATGGAAATAATGGATGTGCGGGTGGACTAATGGATCCTGCATTCGAATATGTAAGAGATAACAATGGTGTCGACTCAGAAAAATCGTATCCTTATGAAGGAGTGAATGGAGAGTGCCGATTTAGAAGAGAGAATGTGGTTGCGACATGCACTGGTAAGTGTAGTAAATATACATCATCCAAAGACACACGTATATATATATATATATATATATATATATATATATATATATATATTATTGTGATTTTTAAAGTCTTGGTGCGCCAAGCAATAATTAGCTAATTAATTTTTTGATTAATTAAAATTATTTAAATGATATGATTATGACTCTATCACAATTTTTAATTTTTTTTTATCTCAGGGTTAAATTCGTGCTTCAATATCTATGCTATTACATGTGAAAGGTAAGGTCCAAAGAATACCGGAATAATAAAAAACACATATGATCTAACACTATATATTGAAATAAAAATAATGAAATAATTCACACTCAAAAGTTTTCAATAAACAAAATCTCATATAATAATTCTCAAAATTTTGTTCTACGTACGTGAACAATCAAAATTAATGTTACAAACAATATTAGTTGAAATCTCAAAATCCAAGTATTACTCTAAATCTCCTAATCAAAAATAATTATATCCTTTCTAAATTAAGTGTAAAAATTGTGTTATCAATGAAAGAAAAACTGCAGAAAACAAAACTATCTCTCTCTGATGATGAGTGGTCCAAATCCTTGTTATTTGTAGACTATATTATTTACTCGTGGCCGCTCCCTAAGTAATCAGCAATCTTACAACAAATTATTGCAAGTATATCGTCCTTAATGATCTCCTTCAAATGCACGAATCGTTCAAATTATGCTAGCTTCTTCTTCTCTCAATAAACTAAATCTCTCGTTGGCCTGAGTGAAAAATGACTCTTGGAATATCTTTTCTTTACGATAAACTGAATCTCTCGTTGGCCTGAACAGTGACTCTTGGAATATAAGTAGAAAAATATGACTTACAATATTTTACTGGATCAGCTTCTGTCAGATACACTAACTACACGAAAACTCACAAACTTTCACTGCTACTGCTTCCTACCTCTGGGAAACTACCCGAGAACAACGGCCGTTCGTCTTGCACCCTTGGAAACCAACTAACTATCTTTTTTCACTCCGAAATCTAGCTAAACTTTCATTCCTACATACCTCCCACCTTTTTTAATCTCCGCCAATCAAAACTCGTCACAATTCCCCATTCTTTCATTCCCATAACAAACAAATTTTTACCTATAATTATAAAATTTCCTAAAACTTATTTACAAATAATATTTTTCTATAATTCTTAAAAACTAACAAAAACCTCTTTCTAAAACCTCTTCTATAGTCTTTAATCGCTGCGTTAATGTATTTGGAAAAACCCGGTTCAATTGTCTTTGGGATTTCACTTAAAATTATGCGGGTCACTCAAGTATAGTATAACAAAAGAAATAATTTTATGCTTAGCTTACATTTTGTTTAATACAGGTAATCCAAAAATTTAAATATTTTCCTTCTTCGAAATGTTTGTTGGGTATACTTTCTGAATTATTTTAATGTTTTTTTGAACTTATATTTTCTTGATTTTAATGTCATAACAATATATATATATATATATATATATATATATATATATATATATATATATATATATTGTTATGCTATGTAAAATTGAAAAAATATTGGTTTGCTTAATATATTTCAAAGTACAAAATATTATAATTCAAATAATTCGACTAATAAACTATAAAAGATATTTCGAAGAAATGAAAGTCCATTATCCTGGATTACCTGTAGTAAACAATAAGTGAAATCATGAACAATGCGAGCGGGTTTTCCAAATAGACTTGTACAGTGAATAAGACAATAGAATAGAAATATTTAGAAAATATATTTCTCCGTTATTTCTTAAGAATTTGTAGAAACCGATTAGCATGTTAATAGTTTTTAGAAAATTTATAATTGTAGGTAAAATTGTTGTTTGTTGTCTAAATAAAGAGATAGGGATACGTGTGACAAACTTTTAAACTTTTAAACAAAAAGAGTTTAGCTAGATTTTTGAGGGAAAAAGATAATCGGTTGTTTTCCAAGGGTGCAGGCGAACAGTCCATTATTCCGGTATTCTTTGAACCTTACCTATCATATGTAAAGCATATATATTGAAGTATGAGTATAACCCTAAGATAAGAGAATTAAATAGTGTGGTAGAATCTTAACTGCATCATTTAAATAAGTTTAATTGATTAATTAATTAGCTAATTAATTGCTTGGCGCATCTCAGATTTTGAATACCACATTAACAGGCTTCCAAAACGTGTGGCTTGAAAATATCGCAAGCTTTACATTTGATGATAGAGAAGGAAAGCCGGAATAATTACAAGTGATCCAAAGATTTGAATGAATTTTAAATTTTAAATTATTTTGACAATTTTCCATTTGACAAAAACTTGATTTATTGATTGATCGTATTTATAAAATATTTATTGCATTGGATTATTTGATTTTTATTTTCTTTACCAATCGTACATTTGATATTTATTTTGATTTGTTTGAATTTTACTGTTTGCATATTTGATATTTGTCGTGAAAATTTATTACAATTGGGGAGAAATATTTGTCGTGTTCTACAACATATAGAGTGTTGTAAAATTTCACATTTGCCGGAGACAAAAACAGTAATGAAAAGAAATAACATGTCTGTCACAAGGAGACAAAGCAAAATGCAAGAAAGGAAGGAGGATAACAGAGAAGATAAAACAATTTTGGAAGAAGGATCGAATAATGAAGGCAATGTTACAATAGTTGAGGAGACAAAAGAATCATCAGGAATAGATAAAATATTACAACTAATGCAACTCCAGTCACAAAAAATGGAAGAAAACCAAAAAGAAACATCACTAAAAATGGATGAAACAAAGCAAAACATGGATGAAACAAAGCACACAATTGATAGAAATCAAGAAGATACAAAACAAACAATAGAGAAAAACCAAAAAGGAACATCACTAAAAATGGAAGAAAACCAACGGGAAACAAGACAAGCATTAGAACGAAATAACAGGAAGATAGAGCAGCGTTTGGAAAACTATGAACAGGAAATTAAAGAAGGTGTTAAGGGGATAAAGAAAAAAAATGATACAACAGATAGAAGAAATAACCTTAAATAATGCAAAACAAGAGAAAGAGATCAATGAAATTAAAAATAAAATGGGAGAACAAGAAAAGAAAGTAGAACAGTTAAAAGAAACATTTTAAATGGCGCTACAAGAAGACAGGAAAGAAGTAGAAAGGAGATTAAAGCAAAATGAAAAACATATTGCAGAAATAAAACAACAAAGAGGAGGAGAGAGAAAAGAAGTTATCGTCCACAGTACAAGCGAGGCGAAAGTACAATTTGGCTGGGACATTAGAACGACACAACCAGTATCATTTCTTAAAAATTTAAACACCAAATTGCAACATATTGGATATTTTGATGATTGTAAAGAAACAATTAGGCACCATCTGAAAGAAGGAGCAGCGTTATGGTACGAAAGCAAAGAGGATGAATTTGAAAATTGGACAGATTTCGAAAACAAATTCCTCAACTATTTCTGGGGGAAAAATAAACAAAGGGAAATTAATCAAGAACTACAAACTGGAAAGTTTACTCAGGAAATGGGAATATCAGAAAGATATTCATTACAGATATACAATAATTCAAAATATCTGGAATACAAGTTTATGCCAATTTTTACAGTTAAAAGAGGCGAAAAGAAGGCAAATGAGAAATAGAAGACAGAATGACCAATATAATAGACAGAATATAATAAACTGTCAATATTACAGAGTTATTACTAATGGTTTAATCCCTACATTTCTGAATATATCATCTTTGAATAAATTCAGTGTTTTTATCATTGTTATCGGTTTCATCGACTGACGACTATTATATAACGTTCATCATATTATTATTATATTATTTTCAAAACAATCCTTCAACAAGTTTCTGTAAAAAAAGTAAAATTATTTTGTTATCTATAATTTTGAAAAATCCTAATTTTCATGACATGATTGATGACTGTCAATTAATATAGATTTATCTTGATCTTGACTGAAAGACAACTTTATATTCAAAATTAAATTCAAGTGGCTTTAGAGATGTCTACATTTTATCAAAAATTTTAATATTAAAACAAATAGAAATTGTAAAAAACCTCTGTTTCTGAAACTAAATTAATATATATATATATATATATATATATATATATATATATATATATATATATATATAACGTCTTCTGAGGTCCTTCTTTCTGACTCCCCCCACAGGAACCCCCAATCAGCAATTCTTCGTATTGGGTGATTAACAACACAAAGAATAGAGAAAGAGATAAACGAACTATACCATAGCACTATTTAAGTCGTGAAAAGGTTAAAAAAGCAAGATCTACAAATTGTCATGGGTAACCTTAACGCCAAAGTTGGGGCCAGCAAAAAATCACCTGCAGGTAAAGTAAGTCGATGATAAAGGCTGATGTTAGAAAATTGAAAGATCCCAATGTTCGACCGAAGGTGAGTGAAAACCTCAATACAAAGGTGCAAAGGTGAAATGCGGAAATGTAGGAACTATAGAGGAAAGTCTGACCATCATACAAGAAATAGTGAGAGAAATAAAAGAACAACACCTGAAGAAAAATACAGAGAAAAGGAAATCGTGGATGACCGATGAAATACTTGAACTTATGGACCAGAGAAAAAACCAAGAAAATCTCAAAGAGTATAAGACAATATATACCATCATTAGAAGAAAAATAAGAGAAGCCAAAGGTAAACAGTCAAGAAATAGATAAGTATCAGAGTCCATATAATAACTTCAATATTCATCGAAAGGTGAAGGAAATAGCTGGAAAGTTCCGATAACGCAAAAGCGAAAAAATAACAGATGATGAAGGCAATCTTGCCATAACAAGATAAAAGAAAGTATTGAAATAATACTTGGAGAAACTTTTCCATGACCTTAAAACAATACAAAAGCCCACCATTGAAGAAAATTCAAATCCCGAAATCCTACCAGAAGAAATAACGGCAGCCGTCACAAAATAAAGGATGGAAAGGCACCGGGGCTTAATGTAATTTCTGCAGAATGG